CCCGGCCCCACGAGCCGCCTCGCCTCCAAACCTCCTTGCCCACTGCCCTTTCCACCCGTTGCCGCACCCACGAGTCTCCCGTCGCAGGTCGCCCCCTCTCCAATACCCCAACCCCTGCACCCAGCACCCCACATGGAAGCCGCGCCCAGTACCTCCGCCCCCCCGGAGTAACCCTCCGCAGTACCCCCCAGGGTCCCGAATCCCCCCCCCCTCAAGTCACTCACGTCCCAGTCCTTCTGTGCGATGCCCCAGCCACAGATGTCCAGCTGGATGACTAACGCCTTCATGTGCACGGTGCCGCGCTGCTGGCCGCGCGCGTACACATCTTTGAGGCCGGCTGCGTGCGGCGCGTGCAGTGTGTGTGTATGTTTGGGGTGTGTGTGTGTGTGATGCGTGTGTTTGTGGTGTGTGGATGTGTGTGCGGTGTGGATGTGGAGTGTGTGTGAGGGGGGGACGGCTCGAAGAGCGAGCGAGCGGTCACAGGGGTGGGAGGGTAAGGGGGGGGGAGTGTATACGGCAGGGGTGCTTGCACCGGGGCAGCCGGAATCTCCAAGACGCTTCATATGGCAGCGCAGCCAGCCACGCGGAGGGCGCGCCGCGCGGAGACGGCCCGGCGGCGGCGGCTGCGAGCTGCCCCGGCGAGGCGCCCCCCTGTTGCCGCACCCCCAACGACACGGCAAGGTTGAGGGGGCGGCTGTGGAACGGAGGCGCCCTCGTGTCTCGAGCCACCCCAGCAACCCAGCCCCCGCTGCCGCTCACCTTCGTGTGTCATCATGGCGCCGACGCAGATCGTCCCGGCCCGCTGCTGCTCCTTGGTGCACGCGGCCATTGCCTGCGACTTCACCATTATATGCGCCCCAGACCGCGGCAGCTGCAAGGTCCAAGGTTGCAAGGTCCAGGGAGCGGCGGGGGCAGGGGGAGTGAGGGCGGCGTGGGCGTGGTTCGCAGGAGAGGGGGGCGCTCTTGCTGTCGCCTGCTGCTGCGTCAACGACGCCTGGGTTTCTCCACGTACAGGGGCTGGCCGGACCGCGGCAGCCGCGCAGTCAGTGCGGGCCACATCGACCTCTTCTTGCGCCCGAGATCCGCCAAAGCCTGCGGTTCGCGTGTGCCACGGGGCGCACTCCCTCACCTTGGCCTCCTCCCCGTGGCTGAATCCCACGGGGAACAGCAGCCGCCGCAGCTCGCCAGTGCGGCTCTGGAGATTGAGGTGGTGCTCGTGCGCCTCCAGCCGCTTGCTGCTGCTGCCGCCTCCGCCGCTGCCGCCGTCGCCGCCGTCCGCGCTGCTGACCTGGCGCAGGCTGCGTCCGTGCACCGCCACCACCTGCAGCTTGCCTGACGGGCGAGCCGGGCGCGTGTGTGGATGCGGTCATCGCAGCTGCTGCGTCTGACACAGCCCACCCTTCAAACCTGCATCCTCAAAGGCCGCTTTTCGCGTGTGAACACTGAACAGCGACGCTACACAGGACACGCTCTCCAGTGATCGCCCCAGACGCTCACCAAAATGGGTATCTTGAGCTGCCGCTGCCGCACATAGTGCTAGCAGCAGTGCCGCACGCGCCGCCAGCCAGGTCATGACACCAGGGGCCGTGCGGCGGGTGGGTTGTGCGCAAGTGCGCAATGCGCAAATGCTGGCCGCAGGTTGAACGCCTGCGCAATAGTGGGCGAGTTTCAAAGCATGTGCATGCGCTGGTCTCATTTGAATAGACTGTTGCCGGTGAGGCTGACCGCTCCGCAAATCCACCCCGCGTCCTCCGGTGTCTCCCTGCTTCAACCACCTGCTGTGATCGTGATAGGCCACCAATATGCTATGAAGGGTCAAGCAAATCGTATGTCAATGGATATACACGATCACACGTATACAGCGAGGCAGTCAACGATGGTACCAGCTGCGATGGAGCCCAGAGCTCCAGTCTGTGAGCGACAATACAAGGAGCTGTAATTTGACGAAACAAGCGTGATCGCCACGGACTCGCCCAAGTCTGCTGCTGATCAAATCGTAGACCTCCGCACACTTGTTCAAGCCCCCACCTGCAGACCTGCTGCACAGCAGCTAGAGGTTTGGGCACAACCGATATGAGGCAAAATTTGTGCACAGGGGGAGCAGGTCACGTTCTAGACGGCCAGATAATCCAAGTTGCCGCGCAATGTGAACCACGCCTTTGCGTCTGAACCCACAACCGACCAGCAGCCACCCTCCCTGTGCCTGCACAACCGCGCCAGCTGCTGTCCAGCACGGTGCTGCCTCTGCCGCCCCTCATGTCACCAAGCATGCCAATGTCTCCAAAGGGGCTAGGTTTTATGGGCACAAGGCAGGTGCTGCCTTCAATCGCACGCCAGACATTGCTGCATTGTGTGCTCTAGAGATCTGGACGTGCAACGCTCATCGCAGTCGTCAAAACAGTCAAAATTCCTTAGCCTAAGGTTGATCATCCAGCAGGGCGCAACTTAACTCGTGCGGCCGAATGAACAGGGCATAGTTTTGTAGTCTGGCTTGACTGCTGTAGAAGCACTGAAGGGAGACATGTGCCCAGGCGCACGGCTTGCATCAAGAGAGAGGGATGCAGCCCCAAATGCACAGCGCTGTTGAAACGTTGGAACAAGCACAATGATTGGGAATATATCCATCATGGGATCACATGACCACGCTGTGACCGCCACAAGCGGCTTTGGGCACGTTGCTAGGGTCGCTGACACACTACCGTGGGTGTCGGACGTCGGCGGTTGTTCGGCACACCCCTGCACTGCACTGCAGTGCGCGCGACTGTTGGCGGCGGCAAGAATTGCCTTCACACACATTTTCGATGTCATCGATATAAGCGTGTAGCTTAAGCGGTATCGCTCGTTCGGCGTCGCCTTACGGACTTGTCGTCGCGGCAAACCTGTTGGCAAACTGTCGGATCGCTCAAATGATTGCGGGTTACGAGCCCCAAAATTCCTGAAGTTAATCGAAGGATGACAATTTGATGCCAAGCGGGCCGGTTGGATCCCTCCTTCAAGGCCTGCACCAACTTGGTTGGGACCAAGTTGGTCTGAAAAACTGGTGTGCACCCAAGCGTGGCGGCGCACCGGCGCAGGTACACAGGCGGATTTCTGCCACCACTGAACTCCCAAATGTCATGATAAGTATTGCCAGCTGAGACTTTGACGCGTCGGGCAGACGCATGGGGCATGATTCAATCACTGACTCCCTTGACGCGTGCATCTCTCTGTGACTGTGTGCTCCTGACACATGCTCCAGTTCACAGCCATGTCATTGATCCACACGTGCACTGCCTCGTACGTCCCATTTCTTCCTGCCACTGCAACGTAAAGGCCCTACCAGATGGCACACCAGGATCTTCCGCGAGCCCGCGCTCACATGTGCCACCGCAGACGGCGTCGTCGCCATGTTGTTCGGGCCCCACGCCGGGAGGGGTTTTGCAGCGCTGCTGGGTCAGGGGCCTTTTCAGGCCAGGGGCGGCGAGGCGGCGATGGGCGCGGGCAATCGACAGCCACGGCCTCCTGAGGCGCAGAAAGCGCTTCTGTCCGCAGCCAATGAGGTCCTCGCCCACGCCTGGCAAGTGCACGCAATTGAGCTGGGCGGCGGGCAGGCGCAGGTCACGGCGTGGCGACCGTGCATGAAGTGGGCTGCCGCGCTGCTGCTTTCGCGTGTGGTGACGGAGGAACAGGCGACTCATAACATTGACCTGGTGAGCACAGGAGCCGAAGCTGATGGCTGCCTTACGGCTGCCCTCAACCTTGTCAGGCTTGCCCCACTTGCATTGTATTCATCATGTGTGTGTCAGGGGGCGCGCAGGCACGCGCGCACACACACAAACACACACACACACACACACACACACACACACACACACACACACACACACACACACACACACACACACACGCACGCACGCACGCACGCACGCGCGCACGCACACCTGTACACGCACAAGAACGCACACATGCTGGTACATACACGCGCACTCTTGTCCAGCATTGGCCCCACATTACAATACCAGCACCTCAGGCACAGCACGGCCTCCGGGAAGCTTTTGATGGCCATGCCAAAGCATGGGGCCAGCAGTGGGCTGCCTTTGGCGATGCGCTGTCTACCGGCGACGAGAGTGTGTGCCCGCCAGACCTCATGTCGTTCCGGTCCCTCATCAATGGACATGACGAGCGAGTGGCGCTCCCTTGTCGGCTTCCTGGGCGGGGTCTTTGCTGGCAAGGGCGGTGCTGCTGTGACCAGCGACGCCGAGCAGCTGCGGCACGCGCGCGACATCGTGGAGGCTGCCATGCGCTGCCACAGTCAAAGGGACAACGCGGGCTAGCAGCCCGCGGGCTGGTTCCTGAACGGGACGTCAAGCCGCTGCTCTCGCTGCCGCCGCGCTGCGAGGCGGCGGTCATGCTCGAGGCGCAGCTGGACGCGGCCCGGGGGCGCCCGCGGAAGGCCCTCCGCACGCTGGGGCCACTGCAGGCGCGCCGGCGGCGGCGGGGACGGGGGGGAGGGAGCGGCGCGCTCTGGCAGCCGGCGGCGTGGGTGCCGCTGCTCTGCCATTTGGGGGTGCTCCATCACCAGTTTGGCACGCACCAGGTGGCGGCGCTGTACCTGTCAAAAGCGCTGTCGAAGCCGCAGTGCCGGCCGGCTGCACCGCCCCCTGTGCGGCTCTGCGCCGCCGCCGCCGCCGCTGCCGGGCCACGCCCGGGAACCATCGCGTCAGCGGCAGCAGCAACGGCAGCAGCAGCAGCAGCAGCAGCAGCAGCAGCAGCAGCAGTGGCAGCGGCGGCGGCAGTTTGCCTGGCTGTGGCCGGACCACAGTCATACCCTGCAGTACAACTTAGGACTGCAGCACCTGATGCTGGCAACTGGCAGGCGGCCCTCGAGTGCTCCGATGCAGCAGGCCAGCGGTACTATGTGCAGCCGCTGATGTGGCTGCGCATGGCGGAGGCGAGCATCAGGCTGCACTTGCAGGGTGCAGAGCGCGCGCGCGCCAGGCGGCTGGCTGCGCAAGACGAGGCTGGCGGGGACGAGGCCGCGGCCGAAGCAGAGACGCGGCCGGACAGGCAGCGGCGGGGCGAGGGCGGCGCCGCCGGCGGCGGCGGTGGCAGGGCTGCGGCGGCGGCGTGGGCGGCGGCGCCGGAGGGCGCCTACGGGCACCCGCTGTTGGGGGGCGTCGTTGGGTCAGGGCCGCGCCGCCGGCTGCTGCTGCCGTCGGGGCACGCCTTGAGCATGGAGGGTGCCCGTGCCGGCGGCGGCGGCGGTGGCGCGGCGGCATGGTCCGAGGGCCCTTTGGGCGCCGCGCTGCTGCAGCTGCAGACGGCGGCAGCTTTGCTGCAGGACCTGACAGCAGAAGCCGCCAAGGAGGTCGAGGAGGCCGCCTCTGCCGCCGCGGCCGCGGCCACGCTCGGCGGCGGCGGCCCGCTGCCCCCCAACGGCGCAGGCGGCGGGGGCTACGGCGACGGCTCGCCCGGCGCGGGCGGGCGCCGCTCGAGCGGCGATCATTTTGGCGCCAGTGGCAGTCCGGGCGCCGCCGCGGCGGCGGCCGCTGGCGGGCCGCGGGTGCTGTCCGATTGCGCGCCTGCAGAGCTAGAGGCGGCCGGGCAAGCCATCTACGCCAACCTTTCCTTTGTCCACTTGCTCAGGGACGACCCTGTCTCGACCCTGGCAGCTGCCCGGCAGCTGCTGGCGTGCAGCAGCCTCAGCGCGCAGCAGCACTGCCTCGGCTCCTGCTACGCGGCCGAGGCACACCGCGTGGTGGGGCGGCCGGAGGAAGCTGCGGAGTAGCTGCACGCGCGCCCGCAGCTCTTCCACGGCGCAAGTGGCGGTGGCGGCACGGGAGACGGCGCCGCTGACGGCGCCGTGATGTCAGCAGCGCCGTCGGCCGGCGGGGCGGCAGCTTCCACCAGCATCAAGTCTGACGACGACCGGCGGGCGCACGCGAGTGGTTCGCCCTCGGCAACGCGGCCGAGGTGGCGGCGCTTTTGGGCCCGCAGGCGCGCGCCGGGGCGCTGGCAAACCTTGCCGTGCCGCGATGTGCGCGGCCAGGGGGGCCTTGAAGAGGCGCAGGCGCTCGCTCGGCAGGCGCTCGCTGCAGAGTTTGCCGCGGCCGCCGCTCCGGCCGATGGCGCGGTGACGAGCGGAGGGGGCTGCGCCGCCGTCGTGCGGCCCACGCCGCCGCCGTCGCCGGCGGCGGCCGCAGCGCAGCTTCTGCTGGTCTACTGCGAGCTCAGGCGCGGCGATGTTGCGGCTGCGCTCGCGCTGCTGCGACAGGGCAGCGGGGTGGGGGACGGCCGCCAGGCAGGGGCTTGAGGGCGTGGGATTGACCCTGGTGTGCTCACCCCAGGAATCATCTGCGGGGCTCGCTTGCACAGCACGATCCCGGACGACCTTTCGTAATCCCTCCCTGCTCTGCGCTCAACGCGCATTGCTCATGTGCATGCGTGGGGAGTTTGGTGCTGTGATTGACTTTGGTTTGAATTCTCACAACAACGGTCCAATGTAAGCCGACTGATGATGGCTGGTGATTCTGCGGGCTGCTTGGCCTCCTGCACAGATTGTGCACAGCATACACACATACATGTGGCGTTTGACACTGCTTCACTCACTGATAGGAGTCCATTACACAGTGTATATTACACGTATGAGAGTAAGTGCACAAGCCTGTGCAGTTGCCACAGCATGATAGCGGGCGTGATGCGTCCAGTTCTCGAGCACATACTCCCACACGAGGGCAGCACAGCGGACAGAGGAGACAGTCATGCAAGCACTGGCAGGCACAGGCATCATGCCAGGCGCGCGCAGATGCACGAGTAGGCCGGGCTGGGGTGCACCTGTCCGTGCTTTGTGGCTGGGTATTGCATTTCTGTTGCGGAAGCCCAACCCAAATAAGTGTTGTACTCGCATTGGGTAGACGACGCGAGCGAGCTTGTTGCGTTGCAAGTGCACAACCCAAGTTGTCCGACATACATACACCAGGGTGCAGACCCTCAAAACCGTCACTGCACCCCTTTGAGCGCGCCAGGCAGGCGGGGCCTGCACACGATGCGCGTCGGCCGCAAGCCGTGCGCACACCAGTGAGGCGCAGCGAAGGTCTTGTCAGGGCCGCGGCCCTGATGCCAGAGTCAGATTAGTCGTAGGCGGCGGAGACAAAGCTGGCCTTGCCGACGATGGGCAGGCCCTTGAGCGCGTCCTGGTTGGCCTGCTTCCATGCCTGGTTGGTGGGAGGTGGGTTTGTCGAGTGGTTTGTTGCAAGGCAAAGCGCGGCTGAGGACGCTGCTCTATCTTGCGATGAGCTATGCCGGCGGCGTTGATGAGGGGAGGCCAGGAACTGCCAAACAACCCACGTGGGCACCCCGACAGACCCCAGGCTCCCCACATGTCTAGACCCCAGACGCCATGTTTCCATTCCGCGCAGCACCGCGCGGCCGCGCTCACCGTGTAGGTGCTGAAGGCCTCGGCAGAGGGGAACCTCAAGATGGCGATGATGTCGTAGCTCACGTAGGTGCCAGCCTTCTTGCCCTCCCACTTCTTGCTGTTGGCGGGAGCAGGCAGCACGCTCGTGTCCCTGATGACAACCCTAAGTGAGACACAGAGGAGAGGGGAGGGGGAGGGAGAGGGGGAGAGAGAGTGCTTGGACCACCAATTCAGGTGTTGGACACAGGGATCGTCATGCCGAGCAGGGTGTCAAGGGAAAATTTGCAAGGCCCAAGACAGCCTGTTGGTCTTGCTGTGTTGGTGCCGTGTTGGTGCCGCTAACGCCTGCTTCAAGGACCAGCGACCCACACGCACCCAAATGCTCAAGCCTGGGATACAACGGTCAACCAGGTAGTTTGAATGTTCACCGTTCCCTCGGATCCCGGACCAACCCACCGGAAAGAGATGGTGTTGGGGTTCGCATCACCGAATTTGGCCAACGACTCTAGCAGGGTCAATCTGACCTGCGAGACCTGGTGAATGTGCAGGGACGGGACAGGACGCAGCTTGACGAGGAAAAAATGAGAACTTAGATAAGTATGAGTAACTTATGCATCTATTGATGAGGGGGTCCAGACAAGTGCGCAGAGAGCAGTATGCGCGGTGCAATCGGACACAGTGCGCTCTGAATGAGCCCCACGCACTGGTCAGCTAGTGCACAACAAACCAGGTGGCACTGAGGCGCCGCACCCCTGACCGGGGCAGCTTCACTCACCTGGTTCGGATCCTGGGGGCTCTGCAAGGCCAGCAGGACAATCTTCTGGATGCCGGCCGCATCTGCGGGAAGGGGTGACGAATACAGCAACGTGTCAAGCCAGGGAGGGTGGGCTGCTCCGATGAAAGATGCGTGTGCAGAAGCCGTGTGGTGAAGGCGGGACGGGCATGATGTGTGGCTGCAGAGCATCGCAGGGGCAATGTGGCAGGGGGAGACAAGCGGGTGACTAAGGAGCCGGTCCGCGGGCTGGCTGGCTGACGTGCAAGATGAGCTGGTTAAAAAGCAAGGGACACAGCCTTGTGGGACATTGGAACGCAGCATGGGGGTGTGATAGGCATCACGCCATTGATTATGGGTGGATGCCCTCGTGGGCTGGTGGTGACCAGTGCGGCGGTGGCCATGCGGCGGGGCGCATTGCGGGTGTGGGGGGTGGCTTTGTCTAATGATATGGGGGTGGGTGCCTGCTGTGCGCAAGGGTGGGGGCACGGGGCCCTGGCACCCTCACCAGCGGCACCGGCCAGGAGGAGGACGGCGGCCAAAAGGGCCGCGGCGGCGGTGGCGGCACGCATCTTGAGGGCTGGCTGGATGGGTTTCAGATGGGTGACCGCCTCTGACGCAAAGGGATTGGATTCAGTGTGTGCGGAAGCACGGTTTTTGCCAGTTGAGACTTTGACGAGTCCGGCAGACCCACGGGACAGATTACCGCGCTTCCGATGCACCGGTAGAGTCCATCCGCAGGCGACAGTGACCAGCGTTCCCTGAGTTTGTTCACATCATCTCGCGCTTTTTGGCACGGCTACTCGGGCTTCGGGCAGGACGGCTAGGCACTGAGTCAGGTCATTGGCAGGCTGTCGGCAGGCTGTCAGCAGGCACGCAGGCTGCAGGAGTGTGCCACCGTCTCCAAGTAGAATTGTCAATTGTGCCACTGTCACCAAGCAATGTGCACAAACTCTCAGCTCCAGCAGCGCGCCAGGGCCCACTGGGATCTCTGCGACTGGCCAGCAAGGGTGCTGGTGCACGACTGCGAGACTCCTGGGCGAGGGGAGGCCAAGACGTATCGCCGCCGCAAACAGCACGCCCTCCTCGTACCGCCCGGCAGGCGCCGGCAAAGCATGCGACCCAGACAGAATCGCCGGTGCGGGCCACGCCGGCGACGAGGGCGGCGCGGGCGGCGCGGGGGGCCGCGGCCAGCACATCCAGCGCAGCCGCAGGTGCGGCGTGTGGGGGTTGCCCGGCGCACGCCCCAACCTCCAGACGTCCGCGCAGCACATGCAGATTGTTGCGCCACCCCCCAGACCCAGATGAAGCCGCCACCCCCTCTGGCTGCAGCCACAACTCCACCGCCTTTGTTGGGCACGAGGCGGCCCTTTGTGCAGCTGTCGAGCTGTGGGCCCCCCGCAGCACCACGGCCAGATAGCCGCGACGCCAGTCGTCATCAGTCAGCAGCTGCTCTTGTCGGGGAGGCACCGGCAGCGCCTGCGCATGAGAGGGGCCCGGCTGTCGCACGTGCCAGCAACTTCGAGGATACAGTAGTGCGCAGGACGGGCAAGTCCATGCGCCCCGCCCAGCTGCATAACAAAAAAGCAAATCCTGGGCTGGAGGGCAGCCCAGCAAACCTGGACATGCTGTGTCGCCGTCGCCTTCGGCACCCGCCACTATAGTAGCGCTGCTTGCCTGGGCGGCATACGAACCGCCGCCTGCGCTGCGGGCTGCCTGCAAGCGCGGGCAGGTGCGCGCAAAGCCACACGCCACCCCTGCGCCGCGTGCCCGACGACTGTCCCGAACCTGTTCATGCGGGCGTGCGTCATGGCCGTGCCCGGGCCGATTCGCGAAGGCAGCAGGGTATTTGTGACAGGAAGTTGAGGGTGGCACGCAGCGGGCCGCGGGGCGGCGTGAGCAGCACGTCCAGTTGAGAGCATGGTATGCAACAGCCCCGACGCCGAGCACAGGCAGCTGCGCCTCAGTCACGACCTGCGACTGCAGCAGACCTGCGCCATCCTGCCACCACTGTGCGCGCTGAAAACGCCAGCGCCCCCCCCGCAGCAACATTGCAGGGCACTGTAGGAGACGCCGCATGGCAGCGGCTCTGGCTGGCGCGCTGGCTCTCCGCTGAACCGAACGTATGGTACACCAACTGTTTATCTTGTTATTTCCAGCAGCAAGGTGGCAGATTCATGGCTGCGCACAAACGTCATCCTGTCTCCACCGCCCCGCCTGTGCATGCCGGCACACGCGCAACAAATGTCGCGTGCCTGGCCCCAGACTAATCCAGCTGCACGACGCGGCCACTGCCTTTGCCTCAAGTTTTGGAGCTGGAAGTGCGTCAATATACAACAATTGTAGCAAAGAAATTGGGCACAAGCGGCGTGCAGCATGTGTACGCAGCACTGCCGAAGATGCTCGACCAACTTGACCAAATCTGCGCCCAGGCGCGGTTCAATCTGCCCTGCCTGATTACATGGCTATGGAGGCTGCATGTCTGCTTAGCGATTGCATGGCGCGCCAGATGTGGCCGCCGAATGACGATAAAGAAGGTGGGCGGTTGCGGCAACATGGCGCGCAAACCCCTGGCAGCGCACGCAAGCCCTGATGACTGGTGGCAGGCCGCCGCCGCCGCTGCTGCTGCTGCTGTGCGCGCATGGTGCCTTCCGGCAATACAAGGGAGTACCTAGCTAGCTGAAAGACAGGGGGGATAAACAGAGGTACAGATCCACGAACCGAAAGAACTCGGGTAAACGGTGCCTGTGAAAAAAGGACCGCTGCACAGCCCAGATCAGCCATAATCTGCCTCAGGCGCGTGCCGGCGCGGCAAGGCGCTGCACCGCCCCGCCCATCTGCCACTCCCTTCAGGACTGGGCACGGGCGGCTGCATCTCCCTCCCGCAGGCGCCGGTCCGTGCGGCGCATTGCGACCCCAGACGCGGCACTCAGGGGTTGGCCGCGCCCCACCACGCCCCACCCGCAAGCTCGCCGCCGCCCACCCCCCCGCCCGCCTCGTGCCGCGCCCGCTTCGCACTCGGCG